GGCCAGGGAGCCACAGGACAGAACGGAGACGTGAGGGGAGGAATGAGCGTGAATGCTCCCACCTCTGCCTGCTGGTGCTGCTGCTGCTACTCTGGCTCCCTCATTGTCCTCACATGCCTCCCTCTTGTTTCTTCTTTCCCTCTCTCTTCCCGTGTCCTACTCCTTCGCCTCCTCCTTTTTGTTCCCCCCTCCCTTCTCGGGTCCTGCTCCTTCGCCTTCTCTTTGTCCCGCTGCTGCTCCTCTCTTTCCCGTTGCTGCTGCTCCTGCCGCTCTCCCAGGGACCTCCCGAATGGAGGAGCGGCGGTTACCACAGAGGACAGCAGCCTTCAAGATAAAGGTCGAGACTGACATCCAGGAGGTCTGGGATTCTACAGTCAACCCGTATCATAAGGACGCACGATAGGGATGCAAGGGCCTTGGAGGCCACTTCGAGGCTTTTCGAGCGGGGCGCGGTCAGCGAAAGTGGCCAAGGATGGGCCGACGGGGAAAGGATGCAAGGGTACCCTTGGGAAGGTTGCCCATCCTTACTATGCGGGTTGATTGTACGCCGCCCTTCATCAAAGCAAAACAGCTCTCGCGCGCGACCCGTTTCCACGCGCCCCTCAGCTTCTGCACTCACGCAGGGGCGGCGCGTGGCTGGCCTTTTCTGTTTGGTCGTCGGCCGCGGCTGTCTCAGCGTCGACATCGGGCTTCGTGAGTTTTTGTCACCGATGCTTTTGATCTGGCGGCGCGACCGCATGAGCGACGAACGCACTCGGGTCTACGCGAGACGACGTAGCCACCTTACGCGGCGGCGTGCGCGGGCCGCCAGCGCGGCACGCCACATTGGCGATGAGGGCGCTTGCGCGCGACCTTGGGAGCGCACGCGCCAACGTCGGCGCAGACAGCTCATTTTTTGTTTGCGTCGCTCACACGCGGACGCGATGACGTCCCCACGTTGAGAAACCGCAGGGAGGGCCAAGGAGAAGGGCGACGAAGAGCCCAACCAGGGCCTGACCACTGGCGGCGGCCTCAGACGGGACTCCTCAGGCCTCGTCCTTGGGCACAGCCTGGACACGTCGACGGCCGCGGACCTTTCCGCTGCACGTGCGCTACCTCTTGCAGGGGGGCAGAAGCGGTGATCCGTCCAACACCGCTCTCCAGGGGCCCATCTGGTCCAGCTTCCCTCCCCGGATACGTTTCCGACAGTCCTCGGCCCGAAGACGGCCCCCATGCAGAGGCCGAAGAATGCAAAACGCCGCCCCGAACCCAGAACCTCGAACCTCGAACCTCGCTCCCCCCCCCCCCCTGGAGGAGGATGAGTTTAGGAGGAGCTCAGGAGGAGGAGGATGAAGAGGAGGAGGAGGAGCAGGAGGAGGAATTTAGGAAGAGGAGGGGAGGGGGAGGAGGAGGAGGAGGGGGAGGAGGAGGAGGATGAGGAAGGAGGAGGAGTTTAGGAGGAGTTTACCCCCCCCCCCCCCCCGCAGCCCCGGGTCGCACACGAGCAGGGACATCGGAGGGGGCACGGCAGCTCCCCCGAGGGGCGGCGGGGCGGAGGGGTCGAGAGGGCACGCGGGTGGCGCGGGTGGGTAGGGGGAACTGGGAGGACGTGAAAGCACCGTCGGCTGGCTCCCACCGTGTCGACGCGGGCGTTGGTGTGGTCCTCTTCCTCCTCCTCCTCCTCCTCCTTCCCCTCCTCCTCCTTCCCCTCCTCCTCCTCCTCCTCTTCCTCCTCCTCCTCCGCCTACTGTACTCCTCCGTCTACTCGCCTACTCCTCCTCCTACCCCCCACTCCTCCGCCCTCCTCCTTCCTCCCGCCTCCTCCCGCCTCCTCCCTCCTTCCTCCTGCCTCCTCCCTCCTCCTCTCAGCGGCATCGCTGCACGGGCGAGTTTTCGACCGAGGGCGTGGGGCCCCGCAGACCTCGGGCCACTCGGGCAGCCGTGGGGTGTGCATACGGCCGGCTGGTCCCCGTCGTGTCGACGCGGACGTTGGTTCCTCCTCTCTCTCCACTTCGCTCCGCTCCTTCCTCGTCCTCGTCCTCGTCCTTCTCCTCTCGGAGGCATCTCCGGACCGTGCCCATTCTAGAGCCCGTGCGTAATGCGGGAAGACGGTGAAGAAAGAAACACGGGAGGGGGGGGGGGTGGACGATCAAAAAAGGGTCTCCTGTCGCCAGGCGGATTCTGGAGAGGCAGACCAGACAATTGAAGCAACGGCGATGCTAACGAGCGGGGCCGGAACCCAATGGCTCGATCATCGGCCAGGGCGCTGCTGCGTGGTGGCCCCGCCTGGGCAACTCTTAAATCGTCATCCCACACCACGGCTGGCTGGCTCCCGTCATGTCGACGCCGGCGCTGGTCTCCGACACCGCGTGGGTCGTTACATCTTGAAGGATTTCCACTCTCTGGCAGCGGAGAAGGAAGAAGAATAAGCAACTGGAGGGGCCCTAGGACACACAAATAAATACACACAAATAACCAGATTCTCCATATATTCCTATATTTTCTGGGTTCTTGTCTCCCCCCCGCTTCCCATATTTTCAAATATTTCCTGGGAGTCGACGATTAATTGGGTCTGTGTGTTTTTTCCCCTCCTGGACAACAACTGCATAAGCAGAGAAACTTTCGACGGACCGCGCGGACTTCTTGGATCTGTGCTGGGCTCCCCTGGCGGCGCCTCTGGCGCCGCTCCTGGCGCGCCACGCGCGCCAGGGGGGGTCCAGCGCGGATCCAAGAAATCTGCGCGGACCGTCTAAAACTTATATCTACACAGTTTTTTTCTTCCTCTGATGGAAAAAAAACAAGAAGAAATGCGAGGACGATGAAGGCGAAGCAGCAGCAGCAGCAGCACCACCAGCAGGCGGCGGTGGGAGCACACACGCTGCGTCTCCTAACGTCTCCGCCCTGTCCTGTTTCCCTGGCCCTCCTCATTCGCAGTTTCCATCCTGACTACCCCTCCTACCCTCTTACCTCCCCTCGCATGCCTCCTTGTCCTCCTCCTCCTCCTCCTACTCCTCCTCCTATTTTTGTTTATGCTCTTCTTCGACAAGATCGCTCAATCAAAACTGGGGCCTCTTCAGGCCGCCGTTGGCCTTCGCCCCAGAGCGCCCGCGCTGGCGTCGCCGCCGCGCCAGCGTCGCGCGGACCTGCCGCACAGCGGCGGCAGCACCGACGAGGACGAAGCCCGGCAGCAGAAACTGCCGACGAGGACGATGCTGTCCCATCCAGGGATTCCGTGGGTGCCACCTGTGCGGCCAAGGAGGGCGACTCAGTTTCCCACGATCCGTTGTGGTGCGGCAGTTCTCTGGAGACGGCATAACTGTTCGGAGTCTGAGCGGCAGGTCATGCAGCCACCTGCCACTTGTCCGAAATCGGAGGCGCCCAGGGGCACGCAAACAGATAGACACCAATCCCAGGCTCCACCATCTTTCCATATACCCTCCTGAGTTTCATCTTCCCCTCCACTTCCCATGTGTTCGACGCTCTGTTCTGGGAGATTGACGCTGATGGGCCACTTTCCATATTTTCTTCCCCTCCACTTTCCATATTTACTGACCTGTTCCCATATGTTTCTACTTTGCCCTCCCTCCACTTCTGCAGTTCTTGCTCTGGGAGATCTGAGTCAATTTTCGCGTCTGTGTTTTGCCCTCCTGAGAAGTGGGCAGCGGCCGCTTTTGTGGGCACACGACGCCCCGTGCACCTGAGCGGCCAGCGACCGCCTCGAAAAACCAATAGCGAATCCGATCCTAGACGACCAGGAACTGCTGTCAGTCATCGTTCCCGATCGTTTCGTCCCAATTGTCGGCCCTCTCAAGTGTAATCGACGCTAATCGACGCAAATCAACTCTAAGTCGACGCTACGTTTCGCCTCAATTTTCGGCCCTCCTATCATGCAGTGAACCCGCATACAGAGTAAGGACGCGCGGTAAGGATGCAAAAGCCTTGGATAGCCATACTAACGTTTTTCGAGCGAGGCTGGCCCGCGAAAGTCGACAATGATGGGCCGACGGGGAAGGGTGCAAGGGTCCCCTTGGGAGGGCTGCCCACCCTTGCCACGCGGGTTGGCTGTGCGTGCCGACCGTGCCTCTGGGCAGCGACCGCAGCGCTCGCCTGGAGACCGTCGACGGGTCCCTGTCCGACATGGGCAGGGGCTGCTCACCGCCATCGTCCCCATGTCGGCCAGGGTCATGTTCGGCTGCTTTCGGCGCCTCCCGAAGCCACATGTAGGGGAGCGAAGCATGACATAAACAGAACTCGGAGGTCCGCGCTGATTTCTCGGATCGGCGCTGGACCCCCTCCCTGGCGCGCGGAGCGCGCCAGGGGCGGCGCTGGAGGCGCCGCAAGGGGGTCCAGCGCGGATCCGAGAAATCCGCGCGGACATCCGAGTTGTTCTGTGTGTGCCATTCTTCGTTCCTCTTACATCTGAGACCATAGTTAGTCCCTCCTCGACCTTCTCCTCCTCGACATCGACTTCCTTCCTCCTCCTCCTCCTCCTCCTCCTTCTCCTCGTCCTCCTCGTCCTCCTCGTCCTCCTCCTCGTCCTCCTCCTACTCCTCCTCCTCTTCCTCGTCCTCGCCCTCCTCCTCGTCCTCGCCCTCCTCCTCTTCCTCCTCCCCCTCTTCGCATCGCTGGCTGGTGGCTTCCAGCCGCTCCTCGGCCTCTTGCAGCAATCTGGACTCCCCTGACAAGAACACCACTCTGGCCGAGGCAGGGCGTGCAAGCCTTGGTCAGCACGGGGGGCGGAGCGCACCCTCACCCCAAGAGGTGGGCGCCCAAGAGGGTGGCTCGCAAGCCATGGCTGGCAGCGTGTGCGCGGTCGACGGGGGGGGGACCAGGGGACGTATGGAACGAAGCAGAGGGGGCCATGAAATCAAGGGATATCATGGCCCTGGCCATGGTATCCCCCTCTGATCTCTAGTCATCACCCCCCTCTCCTCTGGACGCTTGCTGGTCATGCCTTGGGGCCCTCCTTGGGGGTTTCCGACTGCGCCGCGCCCGACTGACAAGAGCGGTCGGCGGAGCGCCCTGGGCGACTCGTGCTCGCGCAGGGCGTCGCCCAGGGGCGTCGCAAAGTCCGCCAGCGGGCCCAGGCCCACGATCGGAGTGGTGTCCGCGACCACGACGTGCACGTACAGCCCCCTCCAGGGAGGATCTGTTTTGTTCCGCCAGACCTGTGCGTTGCTCCAGTGGGGGGCGGTGAGCCGGGGGGCGAAGGAACATGGAACTTCCGTGCACTCTCCTTGCCCCAGGGGGTCTCCCTGTGGCGCCCCGAAGGTGCACGCGAAGTGCACCTTTCTCCCCCTCCCCCCCCTGTTTACCGCCCCCCCAAAACTTTTGTGAAGCCATTCTCTTGCAATGCAGTTAAGGATTTCCAGGCAGATGGTAAGAAATGCAGCAATTGCACGAACACATGGTGTTTCTGGAGAAAAACCGACACGATGCTTATCGAGGTATTTGGGAATTGGATGGGGAATATAACCCAGCGAGACAGGCAATTGAGAACGCAAAGAAATACGCCCAGCACGCAACGCCCGAAGAGCTGCCGCCTCGGCCCTCCCGGCCTCGTGGGTCCCTTCCCGGCGGGCTGGGGGAGACAATTCGAGAACGGCTTGGCGTTGTGGGGACCCGCTGGTGGCCCAGCACTCACGGCCTGCGCGTCCGCAAGCGGGCAGCCCCAACGGAAGCGCAGAACAGCGGGAGCCAAGCTACCACAATATTCGTGCACCATCTGTTCGGGTAGGACGTGCGTCTCAAACATGAGCAAGAGCGTGTTCTGCCGCTGCTGGCAGAAAACAAGGGGGGGGGGGTGTCACTGGGGGGTTTCAGCCCGTCCCCCCCCCCTTTTCGAAGACTGGGCGACCCCCGACCTCCGGGCCTTCGCGAGCCAACCAACGGCGGGGGTCTACCTCGCAGCCTGGGGCTTCCGACGGACCTGCCCGCGGCGGAGGGGCAACTCTGGGGTCGAGAACTCTGGATGCCCACGTCGTCAAGCATCCCAGCGTCGGAGTCCCGGGCCCTGAACAGGGCAGGGTGGCCACTTCGTCGAGGTTTGGGCATCTGGGCGTCTGTTTCGGGACCCACGGCCCACACAAACACCCTGGCGTGGTGCAGCGCAGACGGGACTTCGAGGAGAAGCTGAGACGAGTCACAGCTCGCCACTTGGTTTCCACAACCTTGCGACGCAGAACGGCCGTCTGTCACCGCGAGAATGCTCATGATCACCGTGGTAGCTGCCAGCGTCTTGGAAACCAGCAAAGATAGCCACAGTCACGATCATGATCAACCAAACGTTGATCTGGGTGATGACTGCAAGATCAGTGGTACTAACCGCTGGAGGCATACGCAGCCGAGGCCGCGTCAATCCCCACTTAGACAACGATGCTGCGGCAAGCCCCCGCAAAGAGGGGGAGAGTGGAGGCCCCTTTGATAGTTGAGCCAGGAAGGTGACAGTCTGGCGTCTTCTAATTTCGTGAACTGTGCCTGTCACACGCACTACCTGCCCGCTGCCGTTGGGCCAGTAAGGCGAAAAACAACGCATGAATGTTGGAGCAAGGGATCACAGAGGAACGTGTTTTGTGATAGGGCCGACCGCGCGTTCGGGCGCCAGGAGCTCCGCTGCAACCGCAAACGAGATACTGCCCAAACATGTGCCGCCTCCGCACAGAAAACCCACCGAGTCCGCACGCCACTGCCATCCCAGCAACCGCCCTGCAATCAGGCAGCAGGGGGACGACAGCAGCGACGAAGACCCCTGCGGCGGCGACTCGCGAGTGACGCGTGTCGGCCCTCCCGCCCTTCTCTCCCCGCTGCCTCCACCCTGCGAGACGAGGCAGAGCTCGCGCCCGCACGCTGAGGTCATCACGCGTCGTCGTTCTTGCCTCGTGTGCTCTGGACGCCTGTTTGAGCAAGCCGCACGCCCGTCACGCACGCCGTCCTGCAACCAGGAAGACAACGGAAGCGAGAAGCAAAGGTCGCGGCGGAGGAGGAACAGCACCACACAGACACACATGGTCGTCCATCCCCAGGAAAAAATATGGAAGCATGTGGGAAGTGGGGAAACAACGAAAGTCCAGAAACTATGGAACACTACAGGGAATCCTGGGATTTGTGCGTGTGCGTGTCTAGCTGTGTGTCCCTGGACCCCTTGAGCGGTGACCTCCCGCCTCCCTCCGTCCAGCCTCCCCCCTCCGCCCAAGGCGCGGGGGTGGACAGGCGCGGCACGGCCACGGCACGTCCAGCGCCGGGGCGAGGAGGGGAGACCAAAGGAGACGCACGGCGGAAGCTGGGAGGATCCTAACGCGGGTCGGGGCAGGGGGGGTCGGGTCGACCACCTTCGGTGGCAACTCATGGGAGCCTCCCATGCCATCTTGTCGGCTCTTGCGAGTCGACGCTTGTCGACGCTAAATCGACGCTAAATCGGCGCTATCTCATCCACTCCCAGACGCTACTCGACGCTAAAGACAGAATTCAGAGGGCATACTAGGCTCCCATGATTGCTACCGGAGACCACCTGCGTTTAACCCTAGTCTCGGGGGTCTGGAAAAAGGACCCAGCGCAGAGGGTCGGACCAACCACCTCTGCCATGATCCTCTTTTGGAACCCTGCGGGAAGTGGCGAGAACGACTCTGCCCAAAGGTCCTCGACCTCGCGGGGCGCGCCGCGCGAACCGTCATCATCGATGCGCTCTCGCGCCGCGGATGCGGAATCGGAACCTTGTGTCCGACCCCGAAGAGCCTGTATCCAATGATGCTGACGTCTCGCTTGTGCTTCCTCCGTCCTACGCCGAATGCGAGATGCGCCGAAACCGAGTCTCGGGAACGCCGTACGAGGAGGAGGAGGAGGAGGAGGAGGAGGAGGAGGAGGAGGAGGAGGAGCCAGGACGCAGAGCGCGGACGTCTTCGGGGGCCCCTGCCCGTGAGCCATCGGCCCTCTTTCCCCCATCGTCACCGGCCTGGCCGATCACGATTGCGCCGTGCAGTGCGACTCTCAGCCGCCCAAGGTCATCTCCCATCTCCTCCAACTGCTGCCCCCCTCGTCGACTCATCCTTCTCGGCTCCTCCTCCTTCTCGTCTCTCTCTCTCTCCTCCTCAACGTTGAACCCCTTCTCGTCCATTGCTGATCCTGCTCCTCCTCCTCCTCCTCCTCCTCCTCCTCCTCCTCCTTACCCCTCCTCTTCCTCGTTGTTCGCCTCCGGCCACTCTTCCTTCCCGTTGGCAACGTCATCGTCGTCTTCGTCGTCCTTCTCCTCCCGCTATCCACCTCCTCTCTTCCTCGCTTCCTCTCCGCCCCGTCCTCCTCCTGGCCTCCTGGCCTCCTGGCCTCGTGGCCTCCTCCTCCCCACTCCCTCTTCTGAGGAGAAGGACGACGACGTTGGAGCACGCAGGAGGATGAGGAGGATTATAAGGCCGAGAATGAGGCAGATGCGGATGCGGATGCGGATGCGGATGTGGATGCGGAGGAGGAGGAGGAGGAGGCGGAGGAGGACGAGGGAGGACGCTGAGGAGGAGAGAGGAGCAACAGGGGTGGGGGATGGATGGGGGGTGATGATGGTGGTGAGGAGGAGGGAGGGGCGGAGGGATGAGGAGAGAGGAAAAGGAGGAGGGAGAATGATGACGACAAGGGGTGGAGAGGAGGAGCGGGATAGGGAGGAGATGGCGGGGGAGGAGGAGCTCCTCCTCCTCCCCTCCTCCTCCTCCTCCTCCTCCTCCTCCTCCTCCTCCTCCTCTTCTCTCCTCCCCTCTCCTCTCCTCTCCTCTCCTCTCCTCTCCTCTCCTCTCCTCTCCTCTCCTCTCCTCTCCTCTCTTGTCCATTCATCTCTCCTCTCTAGTCTCGGCTCGAGGGTCTCTGACCCAGTGCGCAGCCGCGACGCGAAGCCCCCAGCGCAGCTGTCGGCTTTCTCCGCGCATGGCGAGTATGGACACACCACATCACATGGCGTGACTGATTCGCGCCATCTCCAGATCCCCGCACGCGCCGCAATGGTTCCTAACAGCCCTCGCCGTGTGCTGCATGTACCACTGCAACCCAAGCCACCAAGCAAGGGCCGGCAAGCCGCCTGTCCAGAAAACCTTCTCGTGTGCCAGGAGGCCTGCACCGCTGCTCTCCGAAACAATGGCGGCGCAGACCGGACTGCTGCAACCTACAACGAACTTACCCCAAACAACACCCAGCCGAACTCGAACCGTCAGCCTCGGCTCAGGAGCTAGCTGATGAAACTGTGAAGGCAATTCTGAAGGGGCCCAGGGACACACAAACAAATACACACACAAATTCCAGGATTCCCAATCTTTTTTTTGTTTGTGAAATTTTCTGGATTTTCGTCTTCCCACCAAATTTTCATATTTTTCAATATTTGTGGGGAATCGACGGTTAATTGTGTCTGTGCTTTCTTCCCTCCCGAAACTCAAGATCAGCTTCACAGAGCTGCAATTTGCCATGCCACATACTACGGGCACCAACAGTGACCCTCCAGGGTGCATGGCCCCGGCCGCTATATCCGTCAGGACAAGGGCACAGCCCCTGTCATCAGCCCCAGTGCACCAAACTGGGACGTCCCGATCGCGCCTGCGCTCAAGAGGGCCGATCACTTGATCTCGCACACCAGTAGCATCCCTCAACACCCCGCCGAATGTCAAGAGCCACCAGGCTACGACGAAGGCTCGGACGAATCATGGTTACCCAGACCAAACTTCCAAATGATCCCCGTTCAGACCGACGCCCGGTTCCGCAATCTCGAAGCGGAGCAGCAGAGGCTCGCGACATAGTCATGTGCATGGGAACCACGGTGACCAGCGTGGCCACCAACCAGGCTACACTGGTCCTCCAATGCCACCAGTTCGAAAAAGGGATCATCTCCGTCCACGCAGAGCAAGCCAGCCTGAGCACAGACACGTGGGCCTTCTTGACAAAGACGCGAGATGACGTCTTGGACGACGAATGGGGCCCCCGCGACGGGGCGGACGCGTGCCCCTGCGACGAACGGGACTCCTGCGACGCATGGGACCCCAGCCTGCAGGGTAGCGTCAGGTCCCAGTCGTATAGCATCGGGAATGAGCCTGGGCCCATCAGGATAAACGCAAGGCCCACCAAGGCCGACGCGCTGCCCGACACCACAAACCTCGTCCCCCCCACCGGTGCCTCCGCCCATCCAGGAAGGCATCGAGGTAACGGTCACGAGCAAGGGAAAGAACCCCATTACCTGCCAGCGCGGCACTTTCATTGGCCGCACGGGGGACAAGTGCGGACACATGGTGGTCCTGCTGACCAATGTGGCAGCACTGCCTCCCTGCCCACGTCCGGTTTGATCCCTCGCTCCCCACAGAAGCCGAACCTCCCCGAGGACGCCAAGCGGGTGAGAGGTGACACTCCATCTCCATCAACGTCAGGGGCCAGGTCAACAGAGACGTCAGCCTCGTCGACTGCGGGGCCCACGGTCGAGCCGCCAGGCCCGCCTGCGCACGTGCGGAAGCCCGTGCCAGCGTCTGAGCTCGCGCCGCCGATGCCAGCCGTTGCGCCAACGGCTGTGGCACCGACGAGGCTCGCGCTCGCCCTGGGGCTTGGCCCACGGCAACGAGAGCGCCTTCGCAAGTTCCGCAAACGCCGCTGCGGACGGCAACCCTCCGTCGGTTCACCTCTCCCCGCTATCCTGGAGGCTGGCGCTGAGGAGGCCCCGCGTGAGTTCATCGGTACGGCCCCTCACGGGCTCCTGACTTGGAGAGCGGCTGAGAAAGATGCCGACGACGCACCGAATAGCGAGGGTGATGCCTGAGCAGGCAGGATCCGCTTCTCCCTCGACCCACCCTCCCTCCCTGCGCAGCTGCGACAGAGGTGTCTGGATCGCTCCTAACATTGGGCGTGCTATGCAACACAGTTCTGATTATCCTTCCGACGTGGGGAGATCGACGGTCTTAGCTTTCCTCGGCTCCTATGTTTCACTAAATCATTGGACCACGCTTCGCCGAGCACCACAACAGTGCACCAAGTCAAAAACGTGGTCATGGCGAGCCTGCGCCCACAAGGTCGCGGCCAGCCCGCCAGGGCTCGCGCCCGCGACTGTGACGAGCGGTGCTGCGAACACCAAGTCTTTGTACACCAAGTACAATACAAATACCAGGTATCTGACACTGCCCACAAGGACGAAGTCGAGCACCAAAAACATCACTTTGACAAGTGAGACGAGTAGTCCAGCGAGCATGAAGTCTCCAAGCAACATGTCAGGGACCAACACCTCAACTCTGTATAGCACGACGGGATCAAGCGCTGCGACGTTGCGCACCAAAACGGGATCCAGTTCCGGCAACCGCATATCAGAGCGAAACGAGCAAAACAACCCACACCGCGTGCTCGAGCAGCATATCCGGGACCATCGCGACACCTTGCACAACGACGACGTCGAGCAGCACGACGAGCTCCAGCCACAGCAGACTCACACTCACGAGTGAGACGGACAGTGCAGCTATCAGCAGCACGGCTGTGACCAGCACCTGGACACCAGACAACGCGACGGAGTTGAGCACCACGGCGCTAGACAGCACGACGGGATACAGCACCAGCAGCCTCACTACGAGGGAGACAAGCAGTGCGACGAGCACCAAGTCCTCGACCAGCGTGTCAAGGGCCTCCTCGGCTTTGAGCAAGACGACGGCATCAAGCCTACCGACGTTGTGCACCAAGACGAGGCCCAGCACGAGCAACCTCACATCTACGGGTGAGACGAGCAGTGATACGAACATCACGGCTTGGAGCACTACGCCAGGGGCCATCGTGACACCGTATAGCACGACGTAATCACGCAACACGACGTCGAGTACGACGGGACACAGCTCCAGCAGTTTCACTCCTACGAGCGAGAGTGAGACGAGCGGTGCATCGAACACAACGTCTTTCAGCCGCACGCCTGCGACCAGCACCTCGACTCCGAGCAACGCGACGGGGTCGAATGCCTCGATGTTGAGCAGCATGACGGGACCCTGCATCAACGCGTCTTTCGACGGCACGTCGATCACCAGCGCCTCGGCTCTGAGCGGCGCGAGGGAATGGAGCACCGCAGTGCCGAGCAGTGCGACCGGAGCCAGCACCAACACCCTCATTCTCACGAGTGTGGCGAAGAGCGCAATGAGGTCCATGGCCAGCCCGCCAGGGCTCGCGCACATGGGCACCAGTAGCCTCACACTCACGGTTGCGATGCACAGTGCTTCGAGCAGCACGTCCACCAGCAACACCTGCGCGACCAGCACTGGGACACCCGTACAGCACGACGGAGTCGAGGACCGCCACGACGTGCAGTGCTACGGGATGCAGCATCGTCAGCCTCACACCGTCAGCGCATGGAGCAGCGGCCGCCTGGAAGGGCGCCTGGACGAGCGCCTGCTCCCGACGGCGGGACGAGCCTGCAGCCCCTGTCTTGACCTGCCCGCGTCCGAGAAGGTACAAGGCTATGAGGCCCCTGGAAGTGGGTGGCCACCAGGGTCCCGCCCCAGGCGCCAAGCCGTCTACCAGCAGCACGATGGAAGCGAGCATCATAGCGTTGAGCTCCACGACGGGATCCATCAGCAACTGCCTTACATCCACCAGAGACACGAACAATGCTATCCGCCACGACGTGAGTCCATCCGCTACGACGAAGTGGAAGAGCATGACCCACAGCACCGTGACCACGAGATGCAAGACGGAGCCGGTTCCTCCTCGGCAGATCTGCGTCTCGTCCAGGCGGCCGTTGAGAGGCTGCCAGCCGCCCAGCGCCTCCAGAGGAACGCCTGCCAAGGCGAGAGGAGCCTCTGGGGCACCGCGACCCCCTTGCTCGAACCCCACACCACAAGCGACGTCCTCGACCTTGCGGTCCCGCGCCGTGCGGAGGACAGTTGAGCTCCTCGCGGCGGCCCCCTAAGGCTCGACGGAGGAGTGGAGGTGGGGCCGGCGCGGCAATGCGACCTCCCTCGATGCACGGGCAGCATCGCGGCGTTTATCGCGACGGACTCGCGCACCAAATTCCGCACCACGGTCGGGTCGCCGGGCAGTGCGACGGGACAGCGCGCTGGGCACTGAAAGTGCGACCAGACGGCACGGGGCGCCTCTGGAGGCGGGGGGCTGCCAGGACCCCGCCCCAGGTGCAAGGCCGCCTGCCTCGCATATTCCATTGGGGCTCGACCACACGGAACGTAGCTCAGCCCCTGCTGCCCCGCCCACGACCCCCCGCGTGCGAGAAGCCACAAGGCGATGATGCTTCCGGAGGCGGGTGGCCACCGGGCCCCCCGCCCCGGTCGCCAGGCCGCCACCAGAAAGCTGCGGCAACGCCAGCGCGAGCACGCTGAGAGCACGACGAAGGCGAGCGCGGGACGGCTCGGCACGTCGAGCGGTGCGCGTGGACTGCACGACGCGCGTCACGACTGCGGGCGTGCGGCGGGGCGGCACGCGATGCCCCTGGACGCGGGGAGCCACCAGGAACCCGCCCCAGGCGTACCAGGCCGATGACCTTGCAAGCTACACAGGGGCACAACCACTCGGAGCGTAGCTCATCCCCCCACCGTCCCTCCCTGGCCCTCCGCGCCGCCTTGAAGGCGCAAGGCGATGATGCCCCTGGAGGCGGGCGACCACCAGGTCCCCGCCTTAGGAGCCTACGACCGTAGTGAGGACACGCGCGGGGTTGGCGACGAGTCGCGGATCAGGCCAGTGGGCCAGTACCAGCGCCCAAACCCGATGGGCTGGACAGTGCAGCCGCGCACCCAGGACTTCAAAGCAACGCACTTCGCCAGGCCGATCGTGTGAGGCTAACACCACAGCAGCCCGCCCACCCGCCACCAGGCAAGCAAGGATGAGGCAGCCAGAGACGTGTGCAGCTCACACCAGCGCGGCCCAGCCAGCCGTCACCAGGCGGGGTTGGCACGGCCAGCACTGCCAACCCAAGTGTAGGTGACGAGATCAGGGCGAAGGCACCATTGCCTCATCGCCTCGGCATCATCTACCAGGGTGACGTGTCTGACTGACGCCAGTACAGGCCACCGGGCGGAGTTGCGCCACGCAGCGCCGCACGGCCGCCGGTCATTGGCTTGACCCCGGCCGAGGGACTGCCTGCACTGCCAGCACCACGACGCTGCATCAGAGTGCGACTAGACTTGGTCATAAGCTGCGTGGCACCCAGGAGCAGTCAGAGTCTTGACAGACCCAAGAAGCACAGAGCGCCTGGATCGGCCTTCATCAGGCCCGATCGCCGCCTCGGGGCCTCTCACCAAGCGAGCACCAGGCGCGTTTCGGCCACGCTGCGTGAATAGCTGGCAACTTTCCATAGCCCTCGCACTGGGCCGCCGCGGGGGATGCCCCAAGGTGGCGCCTCTACTGCTGCGGGCGCCAAATCACGCACGCCAGAGCGCGTGTAAAGCCAGTGCCTATGTCCGCGGGCATGGAGAGGGGGCGAGTCTCGCCCTTTTCACCACATCCCGTGTTCTGCTTTCCAGTCGTGGTCCCCTCAGATCGCGCCAGGGGGTATCGTCGTCGTTCTCGAGTTCCTCTCCTCGCTCCTCGCTCCTCGCTCCTCGCTCCTCGCTCCTCCTCCTCCTCCTCCTCCTCCTCCTCCTCCTAATCCACCTCCTCGCTCCCAGCGTCGGGTAGTGAGGGTAGCATCCCCCCCGCCACAGAAGGCGGGCGCGGTGGGAGCCTGCTCCAGAACGCCTGGACGGCCACTCCGCCCGAACTGTTGCGATCTCTCTTCTACTCTCCTCTTCTCTCCTTGTCTCCTTGCCTCCCTCCCCTCTCATTTCCTCTCCTCTCCTCTCCTCTCCTGTCATGTCCTTTCCTCTCCTCCCCTCCCCTCCCCTCTCCCTCCACTCCCCTCCCCTCCCCCTCCACTCCCCTCCCCTCTCCTCTCGTCTCTCTCCCCCTCCTTCCCTCTCCCCGAGGCGGTCCTCTCTTGGGTGAAGGACAGGCGCACGGAGTCGGACCACGTCGGATCCATGGTGGCGGCGTTGGCGCCTTGGCTGCCGCCGCCGGCCAGCCAAGGTTGGAGGGCCAGGAGACCGCAACCTGGGATGAAGGGGCCGGGAGGAGGATCGATGCAGGGTCCACGTTTTCGGATACTTTGGGTTCTGGCTCTCGAGAGGCCTCTGGAGGCCTCCGCGGGGACCTGCATGGGCATCTGGCAACCTCCCTGGGGAGTCAGAGGAGGAGTAGGAGGAGGGATGAGCAAGGGGAGTGGAAGGACGAGGGACGAGAAGAGAGGCGGCCGGACGGATGATGAGGAAGAGGAGGATGACGAGGAGGGGGGGAGGAAGGAGGATGCTGATTGATTCGACCTACAGACTGTAGTCTGGACTCGCGCTTGAAGGAGCGCGCCCCCGTCCCAATCGGCGAGCTGGCCCCGCGCAGACTTGGACACAACGCACTTAGGCCTGGGCGAAGACTGCAGCGAGTCGGCTGCGCGCAAGAATGACCCCCCCCAGGCAAGAGTGACCTTCGGTGCGCGGCTTCACCAAGGACGCGCGGTGGCCAGACCTGGGCGCGCAAGCCGCTGCTGCCGCTCCGCGTTCGGCGATCGGGGGACCCCTTCAGGCCCGCGCCAAAGTCCACTCCGGCGAGAGGCCACCGGTCGAAGCCAATCAGCACCGAGACGCCGATGACGACCCGCGATCGCTGGCGCAGCGCGCGCGCAGGCTCTTGCGGCGCGCGCGCGCGTGCGGCGCGCGCGCGCAGGCGCCGCCGAAGGCCCCCGAGGCAGGCACTCTCGGTGTGCGCGCTCGCGACGGAGGGCCCCTCCAGGGAGGCCAGGTCCCGCCTCTCGGGGGCGCGCGCCCGCCGCCCGGCGCCCGGGGCCCGCCCCATCGCCGCTCGGCGCTCGTCGTCGCTGCCGTCGCCGTCGCCTCGCCGCCGCATCGTCGTCGTCGTCGTCGTCGTCGTCGTCGTCGTCGTCGTCGTCGTCGTCGTCGTCGTCGTCTTTTCGCCGTCGTTGTCGTCTCGCCGCCGCGTCCTCGTCATCGTCTCGCCGTCGCTTCGCGATCGTCCCGTCGTCATCGTCGTCGTCATCGTGCTCTTCCCCGCAGAAGCATCCTGCTAAGATGCTGCGGTTTGCTGGAATATGAGCCCGATTGGGTTGTCGAGTCAGGCTGCCAAGCAGCACGAAGGTCTGCCAGCCCCGACGGAGATTGCGTTTCATGCGAATAGGAGGCCTCTGACTGGTGAGTCGACCGACCACGATTCGAGTACAGTCAACGTGGCGGATGCGCGGCAAGGATGCAAGCGACCCCTGGACGCCAGGGTTGAAGAGTTCCAATTTCCAAGCTAATGCTTGCCGCGTTCGAAAATGGCTTCACAGCTGGGAAGCTCCCTTTGGAGGAGGCGCCGCAGAGGCGGGGGCGCCCGCGAGCGAGCGGCCACGAGGATGAGGATGAGGTGTAGGAGGAGAGCAGGATTGGGTGTGAGGAGGATCAGGAAACCACGATGAGCACCCAGAATCCGAGAAAGGGATCTGACCAAGGATGAGGGAGGGGAATGAGGATGCGGGGGGGCATGAACAGGAGGAGCAGAAGATGACGTTGGCACCTGTCTCCTCCTCCTTGGTCTCCTCCTCCTCCTCCTCCTCCTCCTCTCCCCACCTCCGCCTTTCCCTTCTCTTCCTTCTCCTCCTCCTCCTCCTTCTCCCCCGCCTCCGCTTCCTCCTTCTTTTCTTGGAGTTCATAAGTGGTGGATGGGATGCGGAGAGAGTGTGTGGAACGCGATCCTTGTAAAGAGGAACGGCCAATGCAGGCGCGGTGCCACGATCGACCTGCTCCAATCGAGGGGCCGACAGCGACGGTTTCGAGGGCATGAGCGGTGAGGACGATTTTGGCGGCCGACGCCGACCGTTGACCCCAAACATCCTCCGCAAACCCCGCGAGTGCTCAGCCTCCCCTGGAGGACGTCACAGAGGTCGTGGCGGAGGGACATGGGGCAACGGCAACAGCGCGGCAGCGGCCCAGGACCCCGTGCCCCTAGGCGGCGCCGCAGAGCCAGCTCGAGAAGCTGAGCCGAGCGGCCGAGACCGTGACGACGATGGGCCCCGCGGAGCCCCTACGACGACCGGATTGGGCTTGGCGGAACGCCGAGCGCAGGCGGTCGCCAACGTCCTGCGCCTTCGCAGCAACCTGGCGGCAGCAGAGGTGACGGAGACGTTGGCGGCCGTGGCCTTGGCCGAGGCGGCAGGGGCCAAGCGACGCGCGACAGCAGCGCTCGCTCAGCCAGAGTGCACCCCACCCCAAGTTGTCTCGACCAAGGCCCCAATGCGACGAAGATGACCAGCCTGCAGTGGCCCACGGAGAAGAGGGTACGTGGGCTCGCGAATTAAATATCTGTGGAGACGCTGACACAAGCACAGCGCTCCCCAATCCTGCCAAGCATGGTATTTCGCAAGTTGTGCTGCGTACCACCCAGCGTGGTGGCAGCTGCTCCTCCCAGCAATTGCCCCCGCGGGAGGAGGAGCAGGCTTCGACTCCCTCCCCCCTCCCCAATTGGAGGCAGCCCCCAGAAGAGTCAAGGACTACGTAAGATCGAGATCTTGAACTGCACGACTTCGCCTTCTGGTGACCCCAGCCCCGAGCCGTCGCTTGCCATCCCTGGTGATATGTGGGAAGGTTGCAAACGCGAGGTGGTGTTCACTTCAGGACTCCAGTCTGTACAGTCCAGCTCCCTTCAGCTTCCTGCTGCTGCTGCTGCTGCTGCTGCTCTCGCCCGCTCTCGCTCCGAAGGACCGCAACAGACTGTTAAAATGCCACTGCTCGACCACACAGGCCGTGGTGAAAGAGTTGTGGAAGTCTCCGTGCCCTGGGCTGGTTAATGTCGATGGTGTGATTGCGTCTCTGGCTGCTGGGTCCCGAATCCATGTAGCCGGATGCTGGCTTCACCCCTCCCACCTCCTCAATGTGCACGGCAATCGTGATATCTCATTCTGTGGACGATGTGGGGTGGTTGCCGACAAGCAGCTGGGTGCACTAGGGAAGCCGTGCACCCGTGTCCTGACCTCCCCGGGTAAAGACCACCTTGGTCGAATTCGACCAGGTTTATGCCACAACGTCCTTCGCCGAGCCGAGAAGGCCCAGCGAGGCCAAGAGGTGTAACATCGAGTTATAGTTGACTTCGTCACCGGTTCCCATCCTTATTCCTTATGTGTATACAAACTTACTCTGCCACAAAACCGACCGATAGCCAGCCACTGCAGGACCTCCCATCCTATCTATACTACGAACAACGCAACGTCGACACTTTCGCTTTCAACAAGGGCATTCCGTCGCCCACGATGCAACGTGCGTGGCAGGAGTAAGACGGTGCGCGCATCCCGCGCGAGAGGCCGACATGTCGCTCTCGCCTTAAGCATTGAGCTCCCGGTTTGACTCGGCACATTTGTCTCACGCATCTTCGTCGACTCGCGAGCGGGCGAAAAGGTCGCTTTCGCCGCGGCGCCGAGCGGGCGAGAAGGTCGCTTTCGCCGCGGCGCCACGCAGGTTTCGCTGGAGAGGTGGCGGTGCCGCCTCGGCGCGACACACATGCTCACTCGCCAATGTTTGGGGAAGGCCCGCGCGAGTGGGCGCCTCGTCGCCCTCGCGCAAGCTCGGTGCACAGTTCGCTGGGAAGCGGCGTTCCCACGCGGGCGCGGCGCGTGGTGCGTTCGCCTGATCGCACGAAGGCGACAGCGGCAGCAGGACCGCGCGAGAGCGGGCGAAATGCGGACCTCGCCCAAGCTCAGCGCAGCTTGTGCGTGAAGAGTGGCAATGCCGTGCCAGCGCGGCGCATGCTTCGTCCTCGCCGCGCCCATTCGCCGCGCCCATCGGACATGTTGCCGCTCCCGCCCATGCGCGGCCAGCATATCTTTTTTTGCTCGTCGCCAGCCGTCGGGAACGGAGCCGGGCGCGAGCGCCCTCCGATTGCCAGGTTGGAGCGCGTTCCGATCCCAATATCAAGTTGCGCCACAATTTGTGCTTGTGCTATGGGTGGGGGTGTGGGAACATGCGGGGCCCTCTGACGAGCTCGACCTGGCTAACTTGACTCCTGCTCCTACTCCTAGTCCTTCTCCCTCCCCCCCCCCTCGTTCATTTTCCCAGCCTATGCCACACCTGCCCCTGTGTCGTGCTCACGCCTACATGCGCACGTGTGCCTTCCTGGCTGACTTGGTGCCGGTAGCCGAACATCATTCACAGTCCTGGAACTTTGTGCTTAGCTGCAGCGCCGCCAGTCGCTGACAGGCGTTCTGATTCATCAGTGTCGCAATCCCAAATCCCCCTCTTCGTCGTGGCCCTCATCCTCCTCCTCCTCCTCCTTCTCCGCCTCCTCCTGGCTCGCCGCCCCCAGAAGCGGCTCCCGCCTGTCGGCCTGCGCGCCCTGGTGGGGGTTGCCGCGCACCACGCGCACCTTTGGGGGAGGGGGGACGGGCTCGGGCGGTCCCCGTCAGCTTCGTGCGTATGCCGCCGCGCTTGCAGCGTTGTACATATATATAATTATTTATGTATATCTACACACATATCTGTATACGTGTTTATCGGTTTCGCAGCGCCCGTGGATGCACCGACGCCGCGGCACGGCTGCTGCCACGGCCCCCGTTGCCGCTGCTGGCCGCGCCGGCGTGCTGTGTGGAACTTTTCCACGTCTGAATGCCCTCCGCCTCCCCCTCCGCGGCCGCCCTGTCTGTCTCGTTTTCCCTCTCTTGCATGCCGGCCAAGTTGTAATTCGGTTGCCCCGAGTCGCCACACGCTGGAGCGGACCGCCTCCGCCTCGCCGCCGACGAAAAAAGTGTGTGTTTGTGTGTGCACCGTAGCCTCGCCCTTTCAACGCCCCCCGCCGTCATCCACGCCTGGATGGCTTATGGCGGGCTGCTGCTGCTGCGGGATCCTCAGCGGTCTCTGAGGGCTCGCGGCGCTTCTAGACGAGCGCGCGCGGCTGCTGTTCTACGACTTTCTCCGCCCTGTCGCTGCGCGCAGAGCTGCGACTCCAAAATTGTGTGTGTGTGTATGTGCTATGGGTGAGCTCTGCGTGTTCCCCTGGGCCGTCTGAATGCCCGGCCGCGGCCGCCGCACAACCCTCCCAAGGCTCACGCTTGACTGACCCCGTCGCGTTGCTGCGCGCGTGTCAGCGAGGCATCACGTGTGTGTGTGTGTGTGTGTATGTGTTTGCTTGTTTGTTTGTTTTTTGTGTGCGCGTGTGTGTGTGTGTGTTTGTGGGTGCGAATGTGCATCCTGGCCGTTGCTTGCCTGCAATCGCCCCGCCACTAGTCGGGGTAGGCGTCTTTTGACCGCCCGGGTGCAGAGCGACGGGCTGCCGAAATAAACGTGCGTGGGCATCCCATCTTGGTCGACTTTTACCCTCGATTGGACTCCATCGAAGCGCTGGGGGAAATCGTGTGTGTGTGGTGTGTGGTGTGTGGTGTGTGGATGATATAGTATGTGCTTTCTAGTAGCGGACCCTTGCCGTTCCTGAACTGGCCTGCGCACGCGCCACTCCCTCGACTATGGCCCGACTCCGCTCAGCTGCTGCGCGCGTGGCCGCGACGCTCCAACAAAAGTGTGTGTGTGTGTGTTGTGTGTGTTGTGTGTGTGTGTGTGTGTGTGTGTGTGTGTATGTGTTTGTGTGTGTGGGTGTGGGTGTGCGAGTGTGCGTGCGTGCGTGCGTGAATATGTGTGTGTGTGTGTTGTGTGTGTGTGTTGTGTGTGCGCGTGTGTCTGTGTGTGTCTGTGTGTGTGCGTGTGGCTTCGGCCTCCTCTTTCCCTCCGTGATCGTCGCCCCGTCTCCTCCTTCGGCCTCGCCGAGGTTTTGAGCTGCACTCGCTGTCCGCCTGCTGCGCGTGACACCTTGCCACGTCTGGTGCTCGCTTCGGCCCGCCCCTCACCCAAGAGAACACGGGCCCCGCTGGCCCGACACGGAGCGAACACGACCGTCATGCTTGTCCCACGCCGCTCGGACGCGAGAGAAAGCTCCTCGGCATCGCACACCGAGTCCGCCCTCGTCTGCCCTCTTCCGCCCTCGTCCGGCGTCACAGAGGAATGACTCAACGGGCACGCGGAGGGAGGAGGGAGGAACGAACGTGCGGACAATGATGATGCTGCTGATGATGATGCTGATGATGATGCTGCTGATGATGCTGATGCTGATGCTGCTGCTGATGATGATGCTGCTGAGGAGGAGGAGGAGGAGGAGGACAAGTTAGAGGGAGGAGGCATAGAAGGATGAGAAGGAAAAGGAGGGCGGTTGAGGGGAGAGGCGGTAGAGGATGATGAAGAAGAGGAAGAGGAGGACATATATTACGATGAGGATGAGGGCGAATGGTGGAGGATCAAGAGGAGAAGGATGATGTAGAGGAGGACGAGGAAGAGGACGAGGAGGAAAAGGAGGAGGAGGGAGGAGGAGGAGGAGGAGGAGGAGGAGGAGGACGAGAATGATGAGGAGTAGGAGGAGGAAGAGAAGGAGGAGGAGGAGGAGGAGGAGGAGGAGGAGGGAGAAGAGACATGATGATCAGGATCATGCGACAAAAGGAGAGTGAGGATAACGACGAGGAGGCGAAAGAGGATGAGGAGGAGGCGCAAGAGGACCATGGAGGGGTCGGGAGAAGGAGGGCGGGGAGGATCGTCCTCAACGGGCACCAGAGAGGGAGTGCGGCACGGACTCACGAGAGAGAAAGAGAGCGAGAGAGAGAGAGAGAGATAGAGAGAGAGAGAGAGAGAGAGAGAAAAAAAGAGAAAGAGCGAGAGAGAGAGACAGAGAGACAGAGCGAGAAAGAGAGAGAGAGAGAGAGAAAGAGAGAGAGAGAGAGAGAGAGGCGAAGCGCCTCCACGCGCGGGTCCCAGAGCAGCGACCCGGCGGGCACCAGGAGGCCCTGCACACGCATGACGTGGAGGATCAGCTCCACGGTCTCCTGCCCGGTGGCTGGAGGCCGCCAAAACGGCGCATTGAAGGAAGCAGCGGGTCCTGGACAAAAAGGGGCCTTGGACGCCTTGCGTCGCCTTCGGGCCCCGTGACCGTCAAACCGCTACTCAGCATGGGGAGCTGGCTCTGGGGAAGGCCACGGGCTCTAGGACCCGTCTCCCTCACGGCCCCTGTCCTCCATGGCAACAGGTGGAGCCCGAGCAGCTCCGAACAGATGGGGTCGGAGGTTCGCACCGCATCGCCGATGCATCCCACATGCGCCAGCGACGTGGGCATCCACCATGCATCCCCCGATGCATCCCCCATCCCACCATCCCCCATGCATGCCCCGCATCGCCGATGCACCGGCGATTCGGCGCGATCCTCCGACCCCACCTGCTCAGGTCCAACCTGGAGGGCCTGGAATGGTTGCGGTGCCTGCCGCCTCAGACTTCCGACACACTGTTATTAAAACCGGGGGCCCCAAACAAGTCTCGACCCCTTCCCAGGGGCCCTGAACCACTTTCGACTGCCTTGGGACCCGAAAGCAGCACTGGGAGGCCGAGAAACGTTCAAATCGAAGCTTAACAATCCGTCCACAACCGCCCTCCAGGCGCATCCCCAAGGTTCGAGGTTCGACGACGTCTGCGGCCTGTTCTGGGCCTCACGGAGGCTTCCGCGAGGAGGATTCTGGAGACTTCCGGAGAGAGACATCCAGGGGGATTTCATCCTTGTTCTCGTCCTCGTCCGCCTCTCTCTCTCTCTCTCTCTTTCCTCCTCCTCCTCCTCCTCGAAGCTGGTGGCCTGTGACTATCCTGCATCCTCCTCCTTCTTCTCCTCCTCCTCCTCCTCCTCATCTCCCCTCTTCACTCCTCTCTCCTCCTCGTCCTTCCCGTCGACCTACTCTTGAAGCGTCTTCTCATCCGCTCTGGAGGTCCATTGCTCCATGCTGGAGGTTTCTTGAGGTTCTGACCCTGTGGGCGGCACCAGCGGGTATCTTTTTAGCGGGTGGGGGGGGGCCCGTTGCCCGACCAATTTGACAATTCACACTTCGCTTGCTCGCAGCCTCTCGTGCCGCAGCGCGGGCACGAATGGCCTCCAAGCAAGGTCGACGGGCGGCAGCGGCTTTCAAAGCACCCCGTCGCACCACCTCAAGGACCACCGTGGCCTCCTCTCGCCCGACCTGCTCTTCGAGTTTTTGCGCGCGACACAGTCGCATTACGCAATGGGCGGAGGTCGCGGCGGAGACGTGACAGCACTTGTGCTCCACTTGCGCGACTGCCTGGCTTGCAAGTGCTGCCAGGCTGCGTATCTTGCACGCCATGCAAAAAAACAGTGGGAGCTCTTCGTTGGCCACTTGCGTGCTCGCGAACTTGTGGCCATGCTCTGGAGCGGAAACTAACTACTCGGCCACGCGCTTGGGACAGCCTCCATAGCTTATCGCAGGCCTCGAGGTGAGATCTCCCCCCGTAAAAGACCAAACAGCGCAAGCACCTAAACCCCAAAGCCATCGCTCCCAGGAGTGCCAAGACGTGGCCTTCGCGAAGGCCTCCCTCGGCCTTCCACGCTCACGCTTGTGGGGGCTCTGGTGGGGCGCGCGGGGGAAACGCGGCAGGACCGCAGCAGCCAGCTTGGCCACCGTCCCAATCCGCCGCATACAGTGGTCCAGCTGTTGGACCTCGGCGTCCGAAGGACGCGCGTGAATCTCAATGGCGCACCTCGCCTCGATGGCGGCTCTCCAGCTAGCCTGTCCTATCCTGCGTTCGGGTTTCTGGAGCATATCACATGTCCTCCAGCTTCCTATGGGTAGGCGTGTGAACAGCTGGGGCAAACATGTTATCCTGCATATGGATCAGCGCACCTCGCCTTAAGCCTCTGTCGGGGAGATATGTTCAACTGGGTTCATGTCATGAAGCTTCACTGCATTCATGCAATCGCTGTAACACTGCTTGGCGAAGCGCGGCACAAACACATCAACAAGGCCAACTGCAGCTGCTCCGTAGCCCGGCTAATTTGCGGCAGTGAAGGCCACGCCGCCCCACCAGCCATATACATCTGATTCCCATCCCCATCATGGAACCCCCAAGAATACGCCGTCCTCGATAACTCCAATATGGTATATTGGAACACGACCCATCTCCAGCCTGATGCAGGCTAGTGCGATCAAAATCGGCTCACACTACCTCCTGTCCGCACCCGTCGTACAGAACAGGCCACATGGAAATGGGGTGCTCACACTGGGCCAAAAGGAAATGGGGTGCTCCATTTAGAACCCCGTGAGGAAAGCCGCGTCTCCGCTGGCTGCTGTTTGACAGAATCTTTCCGTTCCGCGACGTCCGCCTCCTCGCTGGCTCGTGCCACGTCGACATGCTCGCGCAAGAACAGGCGGTGTCCTACAGAGTCGGGCCCCTGACGCGTCGAGCGCAAAACCTAGACCGAAGTTCTCAGCTCTGGGCTCTGTCCTCCGTCCATAAACCTTCGCAACAAACCGACTTGACAAGGTGCTTACCTTTGGCAGTAAACCCGGTGCTCTTCGCCCGAGGGTTGGTGAGCCCACGCGCGGGCTCCGCGCAGGCGCGGGCCCCGGGGCTCCAACCGAATCTGGTTACCAGGGCCCGCTCGCGGCGTCGTTGGACACCCTTCTCCAACAACGAAACCATGGAGGGGGTCGCGCGCATTCCACTGTTCTCGATTCCCTTGTCACCGATCCAATCCAGAGGTGGCGCTGCCAACCGCCCGATGCGTCCCAGCGAGAGACACATTCGGCGAATCGCGAGGTTTAGCCCGCGTGCGAGAGGCCTCCCCTCTTGACCTCCCTTCGCATGGCAAGCAGATCCTTGGCCGAGAAAGCCGCGCTCTCTGGCCTCGTTACCGCGCCCCCGCGAGCGCCGTCTCGGCTCGGGTGGAGGTCCCAGCGTGCCTAGGGGCCTGGCAAGACAGGAGCACGCTGCGCGCGCGCTCAAGCTCCGCGTCGGTCATGCCCGCGATCGTGCCCCCAAAAGTAAGGGCATGCTTTGCGCCCGCCGTGGAAATCTCCCCCGCGCGCGCGCGGTCCCTGGGCAAAACCCTCTGGTGCCGTTTCGATATCGTATGTCTCGTGATCGTACCCTCGAAGCGCCTTTTCCGCTTCGCGAGGTGCCCCTTGCGGTCGCGGCGGCCCCCTGGGGCCCGATCGCGCCCCGACGAGGTCGCGCGCGTGCCGGCTTGGCCGGCCAGGGTACCGAGGCGCTCTCTGAGGCGAGGAGCACTTCCCAGCTCCGACGCCACCGTCATCAACTTCTCAAGCGCAAGTCTTACCCCGGGCTCCTTAGTAAAGACAGCGTGGAGGTCTGCCGCCGCCGCTGACAAGGCCTCAATCATCTCGCGCTGCTTGCCGTAGCCGCTGACCGCGTCGTCGTCGATGTAATGTGAGAGGCCCACGGTCGGGTTGCGGCGCGCAGAGCCATCAAAAGGCGCCGTGGCACAGCGCAAACATGTAGTTAAAACACGATCCTGCTGGCAAGCCGCTGGGCGCATGCTGGGCTGCCGAGCTGCGGTCGGAACAGAGGCGAAAGATGCGTGGGGTTTGCCAGACATTAAAAACCAGCTGGATAATCATTGGCTCCAGCCCCGCAGCTGCACCTCTATCCTTCAACGCGTGCAAATTGAAGCTCTCGCCATGCTTCGCGCGGAACCAGCCAGAGCTCCAGCTTGCCATTGGTCCCAGCCCATCCTTCCCGCCCGGACCTTCCCTCGCCTCCGAGACCCCCCCCCGCTCCTTCAAAAGCTCGGCGAACTGGTCAACCCAGTCGGCAAGTCCTGCCAGAGGACGCGGCCAAGTGGCCATCGCCTGCCGAGCCTTGGCGACTGTGAGGTCGAGCCTTGGCGAACCCCTTCAGCCTCGAAGAGTTGGGGCGCAGTCTCAACGAGGCGCAGCGCCGCCTGCGCTTCGGACCGATCGATCATCGAAGCCATCTGCGCCGCCGATCCTTCGTGTTCTGCTGGGGCCAGACCCAGCCGACCCAGACGCGGACCTCGTCCTCGGCCGTGGCCCGCGGGGGCAGCGGCGCAAGGGCCCGCTGTGCCAATCGTAGACCATTCTTCCCTGTCTTGCAAGTCGGGGCGTCGAGGCGACTCTCTCATTCCGGCCCCGCCGTGTCCGAGAAGGCCCCCCAAGCCGCGTCCCGCGCGGTCCGCGCCGTCTCGACGCCCCGCCAATCGGCGACGAGGTTAGCCTTCTCAGCGGTGGCCGCCCAGTCCAAGGGGTCCCCGCGAAGGGCCAAAGGGGAGGTCCGTCGGGGGCCTCCGGTGGCGGGCGCGAACAAGCTGGTGCAACTTCACCGCCCCAGGCCTGAGGCGAAGCTGAACAGGGCGGTGGGGCCTCTTGGCCCGCGAAGCGTCCGCGGCGACCTGCTGCGCCAGCTTGCAAGAGGCCGCTGAGACCACAAAATAATCGATCGTGGTGTTAGCCTGCGGGGTGGCGCGAGTCTCCATCTCGGGCTGTAGAACTGGCGCGCCCGCCTTCCGCGGCACGCCCGACATCTCGAGGCAGGCAAAGCCGAATTTCCACTCGGCTCCAAGTGACGCGAGGTGCCTCCCTTCCATCGCCGGCCCCGCCATCTGCATGACGTGCAAGTTTCGCTGGCTGAGCCCTTCCCCCGCAGGCAGGCGCGCGCTGCCAGCGGGTAGCGGAGGCCAGCCTGGGATATCAATAATGGCAAACGGCAATATGTGAGGCACTGCTATACCACGCGCAACATGAACAAGCCACCTCGATCCAACTGTGAGTCTGGCAAAGGTGGCAATTCTTGCTGGCGTCTGCCCATTAGCACAAACATCTAAAGGTGTGCGCAACATGTCCCATCCGAGACTCTTGGCACTGCTTGCGCGAGCTCCCAACATATCGGCATCCGCGCCTGATCTCTCGCGCAAGCATCACTAGTACCGTAGTTGCAGCTAAACGTTTCTTCAGTGCTTCCCAGCTGTTCCGGTTATTACACTCGCAAATGCGGGCGCGCGCGTCGCTCTGCGGGGGGGGGGGGGCGCGAATTTTGACAGGCGGCCTACTCCATGGGCAGACATCATAAATCCCGCGCAACGAGGAGCGCCGCGGGCGAAGACAGCCCTGGATCCTACTCCGCACGGGTCGTGAAAACCGACATTCGAAACAAGGCACTCAAGCTCATTCTGCGCATCTCCGATTCTGTGCACATCGACCCGAGCGTGGAGAGCGCCGAGAAGAAACCGTCCTGCTTGCATGTCCAGATAAGAAACATCGGCAAGCCAGCGAGCAGACAAAGAACACTCGAAGAGGCAACAACCCGCGTCTGGATGCAATTCTTTCCCGTGGCGCTCTCATACTGAACATCATCATCATCATCAAAGATGCCACGTCTTGGGTCGCTTAGCCTTGGCCCTCAGCCGGGCCTCCAGGATCCCACGCTTGTCGCCCTTGTGCTTCTTCCAGAAACTGTCTGCCGCATCTTGGTCGGCAAACATGTCGTCTAGCTCCTCATCCATGGGCGCAGGCATGTCCACGCCTGCTCCTTCCTCGGCATCGCCATCGCCACTGTCGTGGGCCCCAAGGCTACGTAGGCATCTGCACATGCGCGCGGAAGAGCGTCGCAAACTCCTTAGACGTCTCGGGCTCGAACATCTTCTGGATCTCGGCAGTGCCATCCAGCAGCTCCCGTGGAACGCCGGAACTGTCGACCACAGGAGACTCGCCAAGAGGTAGGGATGCCACCAATTGACGCTGAAGCTCGGCGCACTCCTTCTCGGCGGCAGCACGTTTCGTCTCCAGCTTCTGCTTCCGTGCCTGCACCTGCTCAAGGCGCTTGTTATGCGCCGCGATGTCGTCGCATACCTTGGACAAGTGGCCTTTGCATCGATTGACCCTGTGCCTCACATTGCTGTGATGCGTGAGCTCAGGCCTCCTACTCTCGATCTTCGCTCGCACTTCCTTGAGGTGTTCTTCGAGCAACTTCTTGGCGGCAGCAGCAGACTTCCCCTTGCATGCGCTATGGCTTGCTCGAGCTTAACCGCATCTGTGCGCAGAGGGGTCTTCGGAACTGGTGCCCGCTGCAGCCCCTGAGGCGGCACTCGCGCCTCCGCCCTGCTGGATTGGCGCACGCGCTGGCGCCATGAACTGCTCGAATTTCTGGGTGAGATCGGCGAGCTGCTTGTTCAATCTTGCTTCGCGGTTGGACCCGGCAGCAGAAGGACGGCTGCCATGCCGAGGACTGCGGCCGACATCGCCACTGGTGAAGCCCTGCGCCCGCTTGAGCACCGCTGCTAGCGCCTTGACTCCACATCGGCATCGCATCCGGCACGCGCAGAAGTGAGCCCGCACTTCTGGCAGCCCCAGAAAGGCTGCTTCGACCCGCCGACCACGTCGCCATCCATGGATGCTTCCGCGAAGTAAAAACCTGGGGGGTTTGAGCTACCCCAACACTGAATCAGCCAAATGGCGCGCGACAGCGACTGCCGCTCTGAAGACAACTGTCGCAAGCCCAGAAAGCCTGGGCCAGAACGGCTCGCACCAAAGGGTCAGCGAGTTGAGACTCTTATTTCTTGCAGGGCGTTCTGAGAGTAAGACAGGGAAAGAGAGAAATAGAGAGAGAGAGAGAAAGAAACCACCGCACCTGACAACAGAGGGGGTGGCACCTCGTCGTCGTCCTCTTTTTTCTCCTCCTGTTGTTCCTCCTCTTCCTCCTCGCCTCCCTTCCCTCCTCACCGCCCTCAATCACCCCCCCCAAGCCGTCGCCGTCGAAATCCGCTTCAAGCGGGTCCCCAGACTTCTCCCAAACTCAATCTTGGCATGAATTTCGTGCTGCGTCCACCAGTGGGCACCCCCCGAAAAACAAATGATCCCAGCAAAGCATCGTAGTACCATATGCTAAAAAGCTCCTGAGCGGGCCCGGAAACTCGGTCGAGAATCTTCGGAGAGGCTCTAGGGATGGTCCTGAGGCTAATGATAATATACGGTGATGCGTGTGGTACGCTCTTGTAAGGGCTCTGATCGTGTCCCGAGAAGATCCCCACTGAGAGGGGCCGAGGAGCTCATGATAGGGCCCCCGAGAGGCTCCTGAGGGGGTCTTTAAGAGATCTTTACAAGAGTCCCTCGTGCCCTGAGAGGTTTTTGAGAAAGGGTCCTGGGAGGCTCCTGAGGGGCTACCAGGAGGGTTTTCAGAAGCTCTTGAAAGGCTCCTTGGATACTCACTAATTCGGAACAGTGGTGAGATGGTGTTCGCTGGAAGAAAGCATTTTGTTGACATGTTCAGAACCAATAATTCAATCTTTCGCTGGACCATACTGAATTATCGCTGGCACTTGCCTGCCTGTGCGCTCGCGAGGGCTAAGACGCTCGTGTGTGTGTGTGTGTGTGTGTGTGTGCGGGGTCGTTTACCTGAACTGTCGCGTGAACCTCGCTTGGGAGAGAAGTGGTAGGGTAACTGCAAGGCAACGCTGAACGGAACACGCCCCCAACGAAATCCTGTCAGGTCATCCCGCCACCGTGACTGGATCGTTGGTCACAGGAGTGTTGAATGCCTCTCGGGTTCTCGTGGGATGCCTCTCGAGGGGCTATCGGAAGCTCATTGACATCATCTTGGGGGCCCATCTTGGGCACCAAGGGGGTTCTTGACAATTTCTCGGGGCCTCATGGGGGCTTCTGGGGGGTCTTGGGGCCTGCTGGCGGTCTCGGATGCCTTATTGGTCACCCAAGACGGAACTCTTGGACTGTCTTGGGGGTTCTTGGGCCGTCTTGGGGCCCTCTTGGGCTGTGTCGAAACCTCTAAGATCAAGGACCGCCTTGGAGCTCCTTCGGGGCGCTCCTGGGGCTTCACTGGACCTTACCGGGACCTTGCAAGGACTTGCCCGGAGTACTTTTCTGGGGCACCCCAGGGGCCGCCCCGCGAGCGCGAATTATACATGTGGGCTAATAGTCTGAACCTTTTACAGGAGTTTCTAGCACGCCTTTGGCCCGCTGGTCGTGTAATTATCTAGGGCTGATGCACACATGGCTGTTGACGAGGCGTCCTTCTCAATTAAAAACTGGTGACGGCAAGGTTCCGACAGCGCGAGCGCAGCCGCCCGGACCCTCCCACAACCATCCCGTTGTGTTGGGCCCTCGTTTTGAATTCACATCGCTCCGCGTCTCCTTCCCGCCTCCTCCCCTCCCCCTCCGTGCCTCTCCTTCGGCACACCCCTCACAAGTTCCGTGGCCCCATAAAGGGGGCCCCACTGAAGGTCTCTGGCGCAGGTTGCACATCCGTCCCTCCGACCATTTCGGGCGCACCCCTCACACACTTCGTGGCGCCACAAGGAGCTTCATGCGTCCCCCCGTCCATGCCGGCACAGAACTCACGCGTTTCGTGGCCCCATAGGGTGCTCCACCGAAGGCCCAGTGGCAGGGTGCGCACGCGTCCCCCCGCCCAGTTCGGCACGCCCCTCACACGTTTCGGGGCCCCGTGCGGAGCTCCACCAAAGGCCTCAGGGCTTGCGCTGTCTATGACGAGAGCGTCACGCCTTGCGCAACCCGTAGCTGCATGTGGCTAGGTCCTTTGCAAGAAAGGGTACGACTAGGATCATGGAGCGCGACGGCGCTACCTCGGAAAAGCACCAATTTGTCCCGCTGAGGACTCAGGAACTTCACATGACGTTGGTGATGGACTCCGCTATGCGCGGCCCGTGTGAGGGCTGGGCCAGGAGTTAACGGGCGAAGAACGGTATAAGATAAACTTTTTCGCTGTCGGGGGCGCCTGTCCCAGGGCGGCTGGAAAGTTTATACCCCTACGGTGCCACCGTAAGGGTATACACTTTCCAGCCGCCCTGGGACAGGCGCCCCCGACAGCGAAAAAGTTTATCTTATACCGTTCTTCGCTCGCTGAAGGAGGAACGGGAACACGCATGCAACCCTTCCAAGAAGGGCCGCCCGTGGAGCTCCCTGATGGGGCGCCCAACAAGTGCGTGGGACGCCGGACTGCGTGGGGGAACGCAGGCAGACTTTCCAACTGGGGCCGTACAGTCGAGGCTTTGACCTAAGGAACCCTAAATAAGGAACGAGGCCCCTATTTTCCAGAAGTTGAACTTAGATTTCGTATCGGAAACCTAAGGGAAATCCAAGGCAAGCTGCGAAACAATTAAGGAACACGGAGCCCCTCCCCAACGAAAAGGGTTCCTTCTTCAGGGCCCCGACTGTAGGTGGTGTGGTGTGTGTGTGTGTGTGAAAGAGTGTTTGTGTAAACGGCCCGGTTCTTTGCATGTGAACTTTCCCACCGAGGCCGCAGGTGGAACTCCTCTGTGAACTTTCCCACCGAGGCCGTAGGTGGAACTCCTCATGTGGGTGCGATCCTCGGGCGAGGTGTGCCGGAAGGGGCGGCGCAACCATGCAGACCCTCCCAGGGGATCTGTAGGTGACACTGCCTGTGGGACCACGATCCTCGTTAAGGGTGCGCCGAAATGGGTGCGGTGGTGCCATGCGTCGGCGCCCACTGAGGCCGCAGGAGGAGCTCCCAAGGGGACCGCGGAGCGAGTGAGAGGTGTACTGAAGTGGACGTGGCGCAGCCAGATGTCGGCGCCCACTGGGGCCTTACGTAGGAGGCTCCCTATGGAGCCTCGAAGCATGTGAGGGGTGTTCCGACATGTGCATGTGAAGAGCCAAGGGCAGGTGGGGTAGGAGGGGGATGAGGTGAGGTGTGTCGCGGGGACCTTCTGATTCAAAACAGGACCCAACTCAACACAGGATGGCCTGGAAAAGAAACGTAGAACGCCGTCGTCGCCGCCGCTGGTGCCCCCGCCGCGGCGGCAGTGTCGCCCCCACGACCGCCCGCGGCGACGGTGACGCGCGGCCGCGGCCGACAACTACAGTAACAACGCGGCCGTCGCTGCCGTCGTCGCCGTCGCCGCCATCGCCATCGTCGCCATCGCCGCCGCCGCAGCAGCAGTCGCCGCCCTCGGCGCCGTCGTCGTGGCCGCCGCCGTCGCCGTCCTCGCCGCCGCCGTCGCCGTCGTCGCCGCCGCTGTCCTGCGGCCCCTGCGGCGCGCTCGCCGGGAGCCGCGCGGGCGCCGCGGCCGCGCCGGCGCCAGCCGCGGCGCCCACGAGGGAGGCCACGCTCTCGGCGAAGGTCTGCTCCTGAGGGTCGACGACGAGCGGCGGTGGCGATGGCCGCGTCGTTGCCAGTCGCCACGTCGGCGACGGCGGCGGTGGCGATGGCGACGGCGACGACGTCGACGGAGACGAGGAGGCCAGACTCTCGGCGAAGGTCGGATCCTGGCGTCCTCTGTCGGCCGGCCATCGAAGATAAAAAACTCCTGCAATGCTTTCGGTTTGTTCCTGGGCCTCCGAAAAGCTGGCGAGGGCTTCGGGGGCCTCCGGAGACCTCTGGAAACTTCGGGGAATCTTCGGAGGGTTTCGCGGAAAGGGAGGCGCGAAGAGGAAATATCATTCATTAAAACACATGTTTTTTGTGTTGGGAACTTCTGGATTCCCTCGTCGCCACGAAAATCACTTTTGAAATTCTGGTCGGAACGCACACCTGGGGATGCCCCGCCACCTCGTGGCGAAGGTTTGCGGCGGTATTGGGGGGGGATCATCCCTCCCACCGCACCTTCAAAAATAATGGGAATTCTAAACGCTTCGCGTATCCCCACCAGCCCATCCAGAAACAATGACCAGGCGAGTTGAGGTAATCAGGGAATTGCAGCAGCAAAGAGGGGGACGGCCGAACCGTGCAAAGGAGTGATGAGAAGGAGGAGGTGGATGGATGGATGGATGGATGAGGGAGTGGGAAGAAGGAGGATGAATAGGATGAGGAAGAGGCTGGGGAGGAGGAGGAGGAGGAGGAGGAGGAGGAGGAGGAGGAGGAGGAAGAGAAGGAGTAGGCGGAGGAAGAAGGAACAGGAGGAGGAGGAGGAGGGCAAGCACAGGGGCCAGAGGTCTCTTGGATGCCCCTCGGAGCCTCTTGGGGTATCTCTTGGGCGATTCTTGGTGGCCTCTTGGACGTCTTGGGGGTCTCTTGGCGGTCGTGGGGGGCTCTTCGGCGTCTTGGGTGCCTCGGGGGGGCCTCTTGGGGCCGCTTGGGATCCTTTTGGGGGCCTCCTGGGGGCCTCTTGGGGCCATCTTTGGGACATCTTGGGGCCTCCTGGGCGCTTCTTGGGGCCATCTTGACGGAGATCGATCAAACAAGAGGGGAGCATTGTTTAGCGTCCACCCCCCAAGGGGCCAACATGGGGCCAAAACCGTAGTAAAACCAATGATTTTGGCTTCCTCGCCGAGGCCGTTTTGGACGCTCCGACGACTCGCGGAACCCCCCGTCCAGGTCCAGAGGAGGGGGTAGGGGGAGGGGTCAAGACGCCCTCCCCGCCCGCAAGCCGTCTCGCTCACTCCCCACACATACGTAGCACCCGAGCCTGGCCCGAGCCGCAGCATATGCAGCAGTCGTCTTTGGATGGGCAGCTACTGGGGGCCAATCCGCCGCCGCCGCCGCCGCCGCCGCCTCCGCCGCCACCGCCGCCGCCCGCCGCCGCCGCCGCAGCCGCGCCGCCGCCGTCGCCGCTGTCCGTCACTGCCGCCGCCACCGCGCTGCCTGCCGCCGCCGCCGCCGCCGCCGCCGCTGCTCCCCGCCGCCGCCGCAGCCGCTGCCGCCGCAGCCGCTGCCGCCACCGCTGCCGCCACCGCCAGCCGCTGCCCCCGCCGCAGCCGCCGCAGCCGCCGCCGCCGCCAAGTGTACTCTGTATTGTTTTGTTGACACGGATAATGGGGGGAGGCCGCATCGGGTTCACTGCGCATGCTCTGAATTTGGAGACAGAGTGTGTTTTGTATTGCTTTTTTACAAGGGATGGTGGGGGCAGAGTGTGTTTTGTCTGGTGTTTTTCTACAAGGGATGGTCATGGACCTGGGTTGGCTCCAAATCGCCTGGGGGAGGGGGTGTATATCAATAGGGAACAATGATAAACCCCTCCCCGAAGGGGAAGAAAGAGGGATGGAAGAGGAAACGACCTAAACCACCGACGCCCAGAGGGCTGGTGGGATTCTTCGTATCCCCGAGCCCACTTAGAGACTGCACTGGAGCGTTCCAAAACACCACCAGAACAAATAACATCGTCCATCCTAGATCTCAGTCGTAGGCGGCGACAATTGCATGGTTTTTGAAAGTCGTCCTCTGGAAGAGAATCCAAGCCTCGACGCTAATATTCCTCCACAACGTTCACTTTCCTAAGGCGGGCTCTTCATCCTAGCCCCCCCCGATACAGAGAACTGCCAGACGCCATCCGTCTAATTTTGGTCTGGAATCGGGCGTCGAACATCGACCCCTGGACCCATCCCAGGGAGCGCCCGGACTAGAACTTCGAAACGTATCGAGCCGTGGCGATGACAAGCCCGCCAAAGGTTTTTGAATAAAAAGGAAAGACATAAACAAGAACCACATCTCCTCGTCTCCTCGCAGCTCGATCCTTGATCTTCCCCCTCCTTCTTCCTCCTCCTGGAAGCCTCGATGCTGCGGGCGGATGTCGGGGACGGTCGAGCGGGTCGAGGGTGGCGACGATCCGATCGCGCACCCTTACGGTGCGAACGCGGCGCCCCGCAGATCAGCGGGGAGGGGGGGGGAGGTGGAGGGGAGGGGGCGGGGAAAGTCGTGAATCTTCTGACACGGGTCAATCCAGACCTGGGCCAATCAGGTCCGCCAGGATCCTGCAGGATCCTGAACCCAAGCCCGGAGCAATGCGCCTCTGGCTCTGCGGGATCCTGCAAGATCCGGCGCCCTGGCTGACCACCGTCTGCACTGAAACCCGTCTCTTGAGCCCAGAGAAAGCGCGCGCCGACTTGGTCCGGCGGCCGCGGAGGAGTGGAAACGGCCGCTTGGGATATCGGGTGCCAACGCAGAACGCCCGCCCTTTCTCCCACCCCAGGCACGCCCCCAGGCCCCAGCTAGAGCCCAGGCGGGCCACAACAGGGAGGAGGAGGAGGAGGAGGAGGAGGAGGAGGAGGAGGAGGAGGAGGAGGAGGAGGAGGAGGAGGAGGAGGAGGAGGAGGGGGGAGGAGCAGGAGGAGCAGGAGGGAGGAGGCAGGAGGAGGAGGAGGAGGGAGGAGGAGGAGGAGGAGGGTAGGGAGGAGGGGGGGGGGCGGCAGGCGCGCGCGCAGGGTGGCGCGCCAGGCCGCCTCGCCGCCGCTGGCGTGCACTCCGGCGGTTCGAAGGTGGGACCCACAGGATCTCGCCATTGTTCGGACGCCCATTCCACGTGCACTGTTCGGCTTCATGCGCGTATGTTCTCGCAGGATGGCCCAGCGTGCTCCTTGATGGTCCTCGCCAGGGAAAAAATGCACACGTTCGAGCGATGGACGCCAGGGGATGCAGTCAACCCGTATCGTAAGGACGCACGATAACGATGCAAGGGCCCTGGAAGGCAGCCTCGAAGCTTTTCGAGTGGGGCGCGGCTAACGAAAGTGGCCAAGGATGGACCGAGGAGGCAAGGATGCAACGGTCCCCTTGGGACGGCCGCCCATCCCTGCCATGCGGGTCGACTGCAGGAGGCGGATCACAAGTTGGCCCTTGGCTGCTCGACTCTCGCCCTCGTGGCCCCCTGCCCCGCGGGGCCCGCCCGCGCGGCGCGCCCCGAAGCCGGCGGAGGGGGAGCTCGATCTGCGGGTTCGCTGCCCCCGCGGGCCCCGCGGCTCCTCATCGGCGGCCAGCGAGGGGGGGATGTGAGAGAGAACGGGCCTTCGCAGGTGGCGGCGGGGCTTCTCAGAAGCCCTCCCAGCCTTCGGATACGTTTTCTGCGTCTTTTGGGGAGTGCATGGAACACTTCTCGAAAGCCGGGTGGCTTCCGAGCCTCCTGAGAAGGCCTGCCACGCCTCACTCCCCCCCCCCCCCCGGGCTCGCCGCTGATCCTCAGGCCGAGACCTCCCGGAGGAAGAGAGGGGACGGTGGTGATGTCTTGCCGTCGCTCGGACGGTCATCCCCCCATGCATTTTTGTTCGGTTTCGCGCGCGTGTATTTTCTCGCAAGGTGGCCCAGGATGCTCCTCGATAGTCCTCGCCGCGGAAAAGGCGCACACGTCCGCGCGATGGTGAGGACGGCGATGAGACGGGGAGGGGCCAGGCGCAGACGAAGGGGCCCTGGGACACACACACAGACACAGACACACACACGCACACGCACACGCACACACACGCGCACACGCACACGCGCACACGTGCACACGCGCACGCACGCACACATGCACACACACAAACACACACACACGCACACACAGAAACACACACACAGAAACACACACAGAAACACACACACACAACACACACGAAAACACACACAAACACACACAAGCACACACAAACACACATACAAACACACAAACACACACGCACACACACTCACACACACTCACACTCAGAAACACACACAACACACACGAAAACACACACACAAGCACACACAAGCACACACAACCACACATACAAACACACACACAAACACACACAACCACAGAAACACACACACACAAACACACAAACACAAACACACAAACACACACAAACGCACACACACAAACACACACAAACACACACACACACACAAACACACAAACACACCCACACACTGACACGCACGCACAACCACACACAAACACACAAACACACACACAAGTACACACACCACACACGCACAAACACTCTCACAAACACAGACAAGCACACACACAAGCACACACACATACACGCAAACACACACACACAAACACACACAACCACACACACAAACACACACACACAAACACACACACACACACACATCAGCACACACAAACACACACACACAAACACACACATATACATACACACAGTCACACGCACGCACACACATACACACATTAATACACACATCAGCACACAAACACACACACTAACATACACAAACACACATAAGTTCAGACAACCACACACAAACACACATACACACATACATACACACAAACACACACAAGCACCCACATACACACATTGATACACACAAGCGCACACACACACTAACATACACAAACACACACACACAAACAAACACACACACACAAACAAACACACACAACACGCACAAACACATACACACACAAACACACACAAACATAGACAAA